CCCCAAAACCCCAAAACCCCAAAACCCCACCTTCGAGATTCTAATCATCAGGTTGATTCATTGTCATTGAATTTATAAATTAACTTTTGCATAATTAATTTGATATACCCGTATCGACTCGGCATTATCATATTATAAGAATTTAGAATTAATTTTATCGTCAAACCATTTCCTATCCTTTCATCTCTTTTTCCTAATGGAATTTGTTATTAAATTTGATAAGTTCCTTCTCGTCATAGTTCTGATTTAATTTGTTTCTATTAACTTTATCAAGAGTTTTCAGATTACCATTGTCATCACTTTCATCATTTGTAATATTATTGACGAACTGATCAAGCCTCTAAGGTATATAAACAACAACGAACTACAAAAAGGCCACTGAAAACAAAAGCAAGGCCTAAATATCGTTAGTTCTTCTAAAGTTAGTCCACTCATTAACATAGCCTCCAAACAGAGGGCCAGCAATACTACCAAGAGCATAAGATGAATTGAAAATAGCGGAGACCATATCTGCTACTTCATGGGGGTTAAATCTTTTGGTTTTATGAATACTGAGACATTATTCCATTTCAGAATAAGGTGCAATAATTGAAAAAGGAGAGGCCAAACCTGCGATAGCAAGGCCAATCATCGTTACATAAATTTTTTAACTTAGTCCCAACATCTCTGATGGTCCAATCAACAAAGCTGCAGACCCCTGGATTACTTGGGTCACGACTACCACTCCTACCAAACTAAATTTATGCACTATATTTGGTGAGATGGGGGCAGTGGTCATGAAGCCAACTTATTATATAGCGTAGACCAAACTAATGATCGAAGGTGAAAAACCATAAACGGACTGAAGATGCTCCGCAAGAATCGTGTCATTGTAATAAAATGTTTGAATATTCACAATCACTGTCAGACATGCAAAGAAGCCTCGCTTCGTTAAAATAATGTCCGAATACGTGACTTTATCGAAGAAATTTCTCTTTGGCAGTTGGAGGAGCGCCTTGACTTAATTATTATTAATTTAATTGTGGTCTGGGAGTCCTAAACTTTTATTATCAAATTAATTGTTTTCCTAATGACTCTCCTCTTCAGAACTATCTTATTCCAAAATATATTAACTCTTATCAGAGTCATCTTCTACCAAAGATGGTTTATTTAGATTGTTTGATTTATTGTGTTATAATGACATTTCTCTTAAGAGACTTGAATTTAAACTTCCTAAGTTATTTGATAAATTTTAGCTTTCAAATTAATATGTAGATGTCAGATCTGATTGCTAGTCAGCAAATGATATGAGTTTATCTTAGAAAATCAAGAACATGAGGCAAGTGAATCCTAAGAATGTTATGAAGATAGTTTAAAATTTTACCAACGAATAGAAAGGGACCCATAAATCCAATGAGATATGACAAGATTGCTGATATGACAAGGCCAGAGGATCCGCCCATAACTAAACAGTATTCTGATGAAAATAAATCTTACCTGCACCCACTTCCATCATTGAGACTAATTTCTTTTGAATCTGAGGGAACTAGATTAATAACTCCGAGTATGCTATAGGAGAGGTTAGGAATTTCCGGTGAGTTTTATGAACTTACCTGCAGTTTGATAGAATCCGGCTCCTGTCCCTTAGACAGCTCGACCGAGGAAACCGACTGCGAGAAAATAGGGCCTATATATGGGTTTTAGCCCCTATATCTAAACTTACGCTTGACTGATAAAATTCAATGATATGAACGTTAATGCTGCAATACACTGCATAATTAGAGAGATTCTAACCATTTTTCATCAGCCAATGTGACTTTAAAGCCTTCCACCAAGCAGAGACCCGATAAACATCCATATTGTATATTGACTTTGAAATAATTGTTGAGTTAGAATATGGTTTACAGGAATAAGGGCGTGAAAAAGGCCTAAGAGACATTTTTATTGTGCATTTGCTCGGGAAGAAAAGGGGCTAGAAGGATAAAAAAGCCCTCTTTCATCCCATTCAGAAATACCAGACTTAAAATTGTACTCCGGCTTGTTATCGCTGGCCTTTAGGCCTGGGGATGGCTGTGAGTGTCCTTATTTGGCATCTCAAATATTCAGAATTGTGTAATTTTTGTGAGGAATCTAATAAAATATTTCAAATTTTTTCAAGAAGATTTCTCAAATCTTAGTTGTGTGGGGTTTTGGGGTTTTGGGG